AATATCATATACCTGGGGAACAATCTATTCTATTTAGAGACACAAATAATATTCCGTCAATTATTAATCAGCTGGGGGTTCACAAGACAATGTTTACAAGGTGGTTCCAAGCTGTAGACACCCCATTTTTGACCGCCCTTAAGACTTGGACACTACTAATTGCTTACTTGATGGTGTAGGCTATGTTATGCAAAGGTACGATTTCTTTGGCAAGAGGAGCTCCAAATCTCAACCTTACACCCCATTTTTGGACTAAAACTATTTTGACCAAAGATTTTAGACTTTAAAACCCTCTCTTTCAAAACATTTTTGAAAAAAATGTTTCTACAATGTTCCGAGGCTCGCATTTCGTTAAATGTTGCGCTTTTTGGTAAATCGAGCAAGGACAAAGTGAAAATGAATGGAAGAGACATGAAATCTTTGAAAAATCTTTCAAAACACCTTGTTTAGGGGTTTGGAGTTGAAGAAAAGAGGAGAGGAGAGAAGAAAACTAGTTTGGGAGAAGTTTGGCATGAATCCGGGAAAGATCGAAACTGAGCGGCTTCACCAAAACAGGCATAACTTTTTGTACAGCTGGAATTTTGATGTGAGGCTTCCACCATTGGAAATCTTACTTCCGGGACTTCAATTTGGACACAAGAATGACTTGAAAATGAGTCCAGATGAAAGAGATATGCCAATTTGAAGTTTGACCTGCAGAGTAGATTTTTGCTGTTGGCCAAAAAAGTAGCCGGCCAGCTAGTTGAAGTAGCCTACCGGCCACTTTTGTCCAAAACTCATTTTTTTTGCAGATCTTTTCCCTCCAGCTGTCCTACACTACTCCAAATATTTCTAGCTTCATATATTTCGACCAAGGCTCCATTTTTGCTATATATGGAGGCCATATCTCATGTTTTGAGAGGTTAGAACAAGTTGGCAAGTTTGGGAGGCTCTCTCTCTAAAATCCCTCTCTCTCTACAAAATTTTGGGAACAAAATTTCAGCCTCTCTCTTTAGGAGCCTCTCTCTCCTCTTGTTTTTGAGCCTTAAGCTTAGAATTCTCTACACTTTTGCAAAGAGACCCTTAACCAAAGTTGGTCATCTTTGGGCTGAGGTAGTTTGGGACTTTGTTTGAGCTCCAAAAGGTGGTTTTAGCTCAGAATTGGGGCTGTTGTGCTTCAAAGGTAACCTCTTACCCCTTTTAAGCTCTTTGTGCACTATTTTTTTGCCATCTTTCTACACTGTTTTTGGGGTGGTTTTGAACTGAGAAAATCTCTATTTTTCAGTCCTAAAAATGGTGGTTTAGGCCTATTTTGTGTTAGGGGGTTGTCTCTCCCTTTTGTTCCTTAGCTTGTATAGCTTTTTGTACCATCTTTCAAGGCTTTCAAACCAAAATTTTTGGCCCTTTTTACAACTGAAACTTAGAGAAATTTCAATGGTAGAAAACTTGTTTTGAGGTCCCAAATAGGAGGGGGTGGCCTCCCCTCCTTGTCTCTTCATGCCATGCCTAGTTAGCGTTGCAAAGTAACATGTTTTTGTGACTTGTCTTAGCTTAGTTTGAGCATGTTTTTGGCTATATTTTAACATGTTTAAACTCTATTTTTGGCTGGTTTGGCCACTCATTGCTTGCATCTTGCACTTATAGTGTAAACTTGCTCACTAGCCTAGTGTACTTGATGGTTTAGCCTATTAATCTAGCATGTGTATGCTCTACTCCAGCATTTTTTTGGCTCTGATTTAGCATGCTTTAGGACTGTTTTGAGTGGTCTTGGCCTTTTAAGGCTTGCTCTATATAGCTATAGTGCAAGTGCCTTAACTAGCTTTGAGTTTTAGGGCCTCTAGCATGCTTTGCTTGTGATGTTTGCATGATATAGCATCATTTAGTATGTAATTTCAAAGCATATGTCATTGTCACACTCTCACATATTCCACTCTTTCATTGCTTTTGAGAGTTGTGCTTTGTGTCTTATTTGTGAGCCAACATGCGAGTATGTTTTTCTTGCCTTTTGTGCCTAAGCTTCAGCATGTTTTTGCCACTAATTTGGCATGGTTAAGCTCTGTTTTGAGCTGGTTTAGGTGTTTGAGCTTTGTATTGCATGGTTCTGGTGTAATGCACTTCACTAGCTTTGATGCCTTTGCCTTTAACATGCATTACATGGGTTATTTGCATGGTTTTGAGTCACTTAGCATGTTATTCCAGTGTTGAAATATGTGTCATTGCACTCCATTATTTCAATCTTTTATTCCCTTTGAAAGATGGTCTTGAGCCCCTTGATGGCTTGAATGTGGAATTGAGGTTCGCATGCCTAATGGTTTTAGTCCTCTCTTGAGGATTTCCACTAACCAACAGCATGAAACCTCTTTCATGCTTAAGGTTCTTGTGGCTTAGACCCTCTTTCCAATTAGAGGACAATCACATTGGACTTAACCGGTTAATGGACTAGTCGGTAAGCTAAAATGAGTAAACAAGAAATGGACCAAGTAAAACATGTGAAAGATAAGCATATTGTTTGCATTGCATTGTATTTGGATCGAACGTTAATCCAAACACAAGAAATGTGGGACGTTTCACACTCATAGTGATAAAACGTGTCACATTTCTTGGTCGCCAACACCCTTGATCATGCATGATAGGGTGAAGGCTCTTTGTGTCATATGTGCGCATTCACTAAGCTTGTACAAGATTGGTTCTTTGGCCATCATGCATTGAAAATGCTTGGTTGATGGCTTGAGAACCAAGTATCGCACTCCTTTGAGCTTGAGATATGATAAGGAGAGTGACAGTACCTACATTTCCTGCAAAATACATTACTGTGCCTCTGTTGCAGCAAAACCAGAAGTTTGGAACAGCAAGTAGCCGACTGGCCAGTTGAGGTGGCCGGCAGCCACTTTTTGTGGCCGACCGGCCACCAGTCCAATTTTGTGCAGAGATGATCCTATTTTGGAGCAGAAACAGTGTGGAGTTGGTTCAAGGTTTAGAAACCAAGGCAAGTGCAAATAGAGGCAATTGACGGCGAAGCAATGGATTTCCGGGTGTAGCCAACCGAGCATGCATGTCTCCCTCGCCCTCGAGGCCATTTCATTGCTTATGATTAGTTTGTATAATTAATCATTTAATTGGTTTTGTAATATTCTAATTAGCTTAGCATAGCTATTTGTTTCAATTCGGGTTATAATAATTAATTAGCTAGAACAGTTAGTTAATTAGTTGATTTGTAATAAGTGGCTTAGCTTAGTGTAGCTTAGCTTATTTATTCGGACCCTCCGTCGAGAGGGCGTGTTGTTGTAATAAGGGTGTGTGCGTGTGTGCATGTCCTTCAACCCCATTTCTTTCTCCCTTTTACTTATCAGCTTTTGATGGTTAGTTTAGGGCATATTTCAATTAGCATACCTTATGATTTGCATGCGTGCATCATTCATTTGTCTTACATGCACCGGGCTCGGCGCATCATTCGAACTGCATCGTATTTCAATACACTTATTTGAATATGTGTGTCAAATTATTGCAAACCATATGCCATATTAGATAGTCGAGCCTACTTAGTTGCATTCTGCATGTGTTGCATTAGGCATTTTATATAATTAAGAGCATGCATTGCTTTCTAACTAGTTTCCTGTTTTGGCTCAAAGTACACCGTAAGTGTTTACGCTTTAGCATCCTTGCATGCGTGTAAGTGATTGCCATGTTCAGCATGCTTGCTATGAGGCTATTTGCTTATTTGCTAAACTGCATAAGTACCTGTGGATGAGGGCTGTGTTGTTTAAATTGGAACAATTCGATAAATGTGAGTTTTAAGCCCACTTGAGAGTGGCAAATCATCATGTTTTAAGCCCACTTGAGGGTGACAAATCCGCATTTTAGCCCATCTTGAGGGTGGCACTTTCAAACCATTTTCGAAAAACAAACATGAATTGTTTTGTTCCAAGTCTCGCGACTTAGCCTATACTTGTGTGTTGTGCGCATCACATAGTAAGTTAGCTTAATAACCGAAACAAGAACACATGTGTTTATAAAAACAACATATCATGTTAGTAGAAGCCGATCTTTGATCGGGCGAGTGGGGGTGCTCATTTCAGGACCTTTCCCTCTCGTACCCAACTTCCCGAGCCGAGGCAACTTTGGTGATGATGGACACGTGGCCTTTGGCACGAGTCAGGGTTTCCTAAATTTCCCAAAAACAAAAATATTTAGATAGCGACTCTGTAATTTGGCAAAGTAGTCCATGTTTGGCCCTTTTTATTCAAAATTGATTTTTCAAAACCAATTGCCGGATTTGGACTCTTTGGTGATTTATCAGTCTTACATTGCACTTTGTGAGATTAGATTCAAAACCGTGACAAGAGTGCGAACTGTAGTAGCTAGAACCCAATTCGCGCCCTCTCCGAAAGGGGGGCCCCACGGAGAGCGTTCGGGCAGTCTACACAAGCAAACAGAGATCATGTAGAGGCAAATGCATTAGCATATGAAGAGTTTCCTAGCTCATGGGTTTGGAACCAGAAACAGAAGAAGTAGAAAATGAGGCAACAACAAATATGCCTAGGTAGATTGTATTATGCACATCCTAATTCTGGTGAATGATATTATTTACGTATGTTGCTTACCAAGGTTTGAGGTGCAAAATGTTATGAAGATATTAGAATCGTTAATGGCATTGTGCAGCCAACATTTAAATCTGCATACCATGCACTTGGTTTACTTGACGATGATAGTGAGTGGGACGCAACTTTAACAAAAGCCTCAACATGGCCATCGGGTGCTCAACTGCGAAATATGTTTTGCTCAATGCTAATGTTTTCTGAGGTTACAAATGCATATGAATTGTGAAAGAATTGTTGGTTTGACCTTACTAATGATTTACAAAATAGGGTATGACGACAAATTGGAAATAGGGCAATATACGTCTCGAGGAATGTGAATTGAAAAATTTAGGATTGCTTGAAATTGAGCAAATACTAAATCAGAATGGAAGGTCTCGTAAAGAGTTTCCTCCGATGCCACTACCATCATATTGATCAGGTCAAATGGTTACTAATAGGCTCATAAGGGAGGAACTGAACTACGATAGCATTTCAGAAATGCAATCTTTTGAATCTTTATATGTGGGATTGAATGATGAACAATTGAAAGTGTTTAACACCATAATGGAAGCTTATTCCACTCATCATGGGGGCTTATTTTTTGTGTATGGTAGTGGAGGAACTAGAAAGACATATTTATGGAACACTTTAATTGAAAGTTTTCGATCCGATAAGAAGATCATTCTTTCTGTTGCATCATCAGGTATTGCGGCTTTGCTTTTACCCGGGGAACAAACTGCCCATTCCCGTTTCAAGATTCCACTTGACCCTGATAACTCATCATATTGTTCAATAAGTCAAGGGACAGATTTGGCAAGGTTAATTCAAGAGGCGTCCTTAATTATATGGAATGAAGTACCAATGGTTAGTCGTCATGCTTTTGAAGCTGTTGATCGTATATTTAGGGACATATTGAAAAATACAAAACATTGTTCAGAGGATAGGGTTTTTGGTGGAAAACTATTTGTGTTTGGTGGTGACTTTAGACAAATATTGCCTATCGTACCTAGAGGTGGGCGTGAACAAACAGTGGAAGCTTCATTACCTAGGTCAACAATTTGGGAGCATTGTCAAGTCTTGCATCTTACTAGAAATATGTGTGTTACAGCACAAGATATTTCTAATCATATGCGTCATGAATTATGTGACTTTGCAGCGTGGATTAAATTGGTTGGTGAAGGGAAAATAATGGGAAGCTTGTTTAATGAAGGCTATGAACCTAATTGGATATAGATACTAGAAAAATTAGTTATAAAAAATGGAGAAAGAGATTTGCACCAGTTAATCGATGCCACCTATCCTGGTTTCATAAATAAATATCAGGATATGTCGTACTTAAAATAACGAGGTATTTTAGTTCCTAAGAATAATGATGTTGATGAAATCAATTCTATTATGCTTTCGATGCTTCCTGGAGAGATGAAAACTTTTAACAGTGCTGATAAATTGTATCCAACAAAAAGTAAGAGCAACGTTCACGACATGAACCCTCCTGAACTTTTGCATTCTTTGAATTTACCAGGACTCCCAAATCATTGTTTGCAGTTGAAAGTTGGAACACCAATAATGCTTCTAAGAAATGTTAACCAATCTTTGAGATTATGCAATGGCACACGATAATATAAGATGGGAAATTGAGTAACTGAAGCTAGAGTTATTACAGGGTCTAGAGTTGGTGAGAAAGTACTACTTTCAAGAATTGTTTTAACACCTTCCAAAAATTATGCTCCTTTTATAATGAAAAAAAGGCAATTTCCAATAAAGTTGGCATTCGCTATGACAATAAATAAGAGTCAAGGGCAAACTTTGAAGAATGTGGGCCTTTATCTTCCGAATCCAGTCTTCTCTCATGGCCAGCTGTATGTAGCTCTATCACGTGTCACCTCTCCATCAGGCTTAAAGGTGTTGATTTTTTATAAACAAGGCATATCGGATGATGTCAACAAAAATATAGTTTGCATAGAAGTTTTTAGTGGCATTGATTAATAGTTTTGTTCAAGAGTTTCAAATGTGTTTCGTTTTCCTACAAACAATTGTTTTATTATTTCTCTTCATATATTGATTGTTTAAAATAAGTAATGTCATACATGAAAACATATGTTGCATTTGAGATTTACATGTTTATATTTAATTTAATTGTCTGTACATATACTATGTTTAATTCATACAATTATTTTATTTTATAATTAAGTACCCTTCTTTTTTTTCTTTCTTTTTTATTTTTTTGAAGAAACAATTTTATGTTAACAATTATCATTATAAATTTTACTCAAATAATAATAAATGTGGTTTATTATTAAAAAAAAAATAGACTAACATTATGTAATTGTATGTTAAATGTGTTAAATTCATTATGCAGATAAATATGCGGCCTCCTCTAAATTTGCGCCGTAGTGATTGTTTGGCCATGCAAAATGCCATAAATGAATTTGAAACTGTACCTCGTAAAGAGGGTTTACCAGTAGGAAATTTTGTTGATTGAAAAATCAAAATATGTCAAGCAATGCAAAAATTAGGAAAAAAAATAAGTGAAAAAAAAAATTGATGGAAACAATATTAGACCTTTTACTATTGAGCTGGAATGAAGTAAAGGAAACAATTTTTCAAAAGCATGAAATCAAAGATGCCTCAGACTTAATGGATGCTTTAATGGAGGAGGAGCGTGAAGTTCATCCTCTATGGATTGAACTTGAGCAAGAGTAGATGACTCCAAATTTGACGGTACAAGAGCATATGAGAGCATATGTTACATAAAGAGCAAGTGTTTAATAAGCTTAGGAAAAAAGGTTTCCAACTCCACATTGCAATATTAGTTTATGCTATAGTTAACACACTTTCAACCTCATGGCCTATTCAAGAAATTCATAAAAAAAAAATGAAAAAAGACTTTCCAGACATGAGAGCATTGATAGTTATGTTGAAGGAAATTGAAAATGATATGATTTGTTTACATGCATTGGATGAAGTGGAGCAACGCATTGATAATGAAAATATTAAAGTGGAACAACAACAGCAGCAACAACAAAATAATGGTTGTGAAGAGAATGAAATGAAGCAACAACCCAAAAATGAGGACAATTAAATCAACACTCCTCATAAGGTAATATATCTATTTTTTTTAAGTTTGTTTGTATGTAAAAAATGATAACAAAAAAATGTTAGCACTTTTTTATTTTACAGGTACTTTTTGGGACATTTGGACATGATGAGCAACATCTATTGAGTTTTAATTTATCAAATATAGATAGATTTGATTTATGACATTTAGTTTATTATTAGTTTTTTTTAGCATATATATGTTTTAGACATTAGGTTCATTGAGAAACATCTTATTTATTGTTAATATAGATTATTTCATTAGTTAGAAATCAAGTTTATTGTTTTAAGAAAAATAACTCAATTGGATGATTATAATATTTTATGAATATTTGCTTTGAAATATTATCTTCACTTATGAAATTTGAAAAGATGATGTCTATGCATTATGATTATAATTTTATGAGTAAACTTAGAAATTAATGCGTTATTAAAAAAATTACACATTATTAAACCAATTCCGTGCATAGCATGAGTTTACCACTTGTATATACATATATATATTTATAGGTTTAATTCGGTTCAATATTAATAATTCGAACCGTCTATCTCGTAAGGTCTGCAATGAAGGTCATTCATGCAAAAACTTAATTTCATTGGACAATTATAAACGTAGAAACAAATTACATTTTATTTTATAAAATAGATGGTTTAAATTTAATTATATTTACTATTCATTTTATAAAACAAAATGCGATTTATTTTTATATTTACAATTTTCTGATGAAATTGATTTTTTGTATGAATGACATTTATTGTGAGGCCTATGAAATAAATGGTTCGGATCATCAATACGAATTCAAATTGAAACCTACAATAAGAATATGGAGAGATATAAAAAGATGAAGTATGGAGGAGAGTTTATCCCTTGACTAGTTGTTTGGTTAATCATTGGCTAGTATGTTGAAACTGATTTTGTACAATTTTGAGAATTTATTTAGCTAAAAATGTGGTTTAATTAGGCTTCTGTAGATGCTCTTAATAGCAACAAAGCATAATAACAAACTATTATATAAATTTGAATAAATTATAATTTGCCCTCTTAAATTTTAATAATTTTTTACTTAGACCCTTAAAAAAAATTTCCACTTTAGTCCCTATTATTTTTAACTTTTCTTAATTTGCTTCAACAACCAATATCTATCCAAAATTGGATGAAATTATGGCCACATTGCACCCAATTTGAACCTCAGACTCTCTCTCTCTCTCACTCTCTCTCTCTACTAAAAATGGTAACGATGATCATATTTCATGGTGTGAGCCTAAAAGGCTATGCTTGATAATGGTTTTGAGATGTTAGGGATGTTAGTAAAGAGGTGGATGATGGTATCATTCAGTTGTTGATCATGGAAACTAAAGAATAAAGACTGAGTGGGGGTCTCAGTGATGATATGTTCATAAAGTGGATTAATTGAGAGGTGGTAGAAAGAAGTGGTGTTGGCATGGCATTTTCATCCAATTTGTTTAATAAATATTAGTTATCATTAGGAGCCAAAGTAGGGTAAAAAGACATCAAAAGTTCAAAGTGAAAAAACATTGAAACTCAAGAAGGCAAAATGTAATTTATTCAAATTTGTGTTATTATATCACATGATTACTGACATGGTATTTTCTATCCAAAATTAATCTAAATTTAACTATTAGAGTAAATTGAGAAAAATTAAAACATTAAAGATCAAAATGAAAAATAAAATAAAATTTAAATGTCAACGTGAAAAAAATGCTAGAAATTGTAGGAGCGATAGGTCCAGAAGATTACGTGTCTATGTGATAGCCAATGAAATATTATAGTTGGTCTATCATTTCTTTGTAATTAGGATCATACATTCATTTCATTTGACTCTCTGCTATTAGTTAACACATAGTCAACATCAAATTCCCAAAAGACACGATAATTACTTAGTAATTTACCCTTATTTCTGTCTAATTAGGATAAATTATGCTTTACCCCTACAGTAATAAAGGATTCTCACTTTGGCCCTAAAAAAAGTTACCCAATTTTGTCTTAAAACTATTTAATTTTTTTCAACTCTAGACAGATTAATAGCTGTTGTAAACTGATTTTACGAAAAATGTCATGTGGCAACAAACCCATAAAATTTTAAAGAAAATTAACACTTAACCTTATCTATATTGTGATACAAAACAAACAAAATTAAATTAAACCATTAAAAATCAAAGAACAATAATAATAATAAAAATAAAAACTCAATCATTAAAAATTTACAAACTATCTTGCAAGTCTACAAACCACCCTCTCCAACCCAATTGATAAGGACCACCACCAGAACATATTACCTATTCTCTAACCATGCCCTTTCTAGTTTGCTCCCTCAAACTATAAGTTGCATACCTTTATATATATGCCATATCCAAACCACCAGCACAACCAAATATTATGTACGTCCACAACTCTGCCCAATTTGTATCCCGCTTTGTCCTTCAAACCAAAAAACATACTCCTCGTCTACGTTGCACCCCAAACGATTGGCATACCATGCCTCTATCACACTCGGACTATCACCATCACCACATACCTTGCTTTCACTATAACTGAACCACTAAATACTTGCATTGCATTAACAACTAGAGCTAATTTTGCATATCGCAATGTGAATGTGGTTTTAAATGCAACTTTGCATTATTAACATATGCCCGCTGTTCATTTTATTCCTCTTTTCTTTTAATTTCACACGTGAATTTTACTTGCATGGACAAAGGATATATGCCAATAAAGCAAATTACCATCACCTTATATTGTTGGAATAAATAAAGAGAATTTAAAAATAAAATAAAATAAAAGAAAAAAGGAATGCAAGGCAAAATAAGAACAGTGACAGGCCAAATATATTAGCCAAGGAAGCACAATCCACCATACACTTCGAACTTATATGCCAAAACCAACACTCCAATGATTTTTTTGTTTTTGATTTATCACGTTTAATTTAAAAAAAAAAAAAAAACAACGAGAAGTTCAAAAATAACTCTCATTTTTCTGTGAAAATATTCAAAAAATTGAAAATAACTTTTTAAAGCGAATTATTTTCAGAAAACTTATCGAAAAGCATTTCTTCTGGAAATAGTTCACCAAATAAAAGCACTATATTCTCCTGTGCTTTGCTCAAAACATTTTTTTAACTCCAGTTTGATGGCTTGCTTTATTAGGCATGAAACTGACAAGGAAGGCCGACCCACTCATGAAAGACAATGAAAAACACAAAAATTCAGAATCTCTTCCAATGGAGGCAGTCTTAAAAGACAGTGAAACCAAGGTTCATGATAACGTATCTCTTCCAATGTCTAGGCTAGCCATATGTTAATACAGCAGTGCACCGAGATTAAACATCCATACCAAATCTGAAAGAGAACATGAAAAGTTAGCCTCTACAACTATTTCAGGGATTGCTTATCAGCTTCACAATGTTCACTAGTTCAGAAGTCAATGTAACCAGATGGTTCTTTTTAGTTTTCTTTTAGGAACATCAAGATGAACAGTTAAGTATGTGAGATTTGAACTTGTCTAGCTCGGCAAGGACCTCTTCTTCTGGCCTGTAAATCAGGTCAATCATCCGCCATATCTGCACAAAGACGATTACTTCAGTCACATATCATCTAACTTCAAACTATTTTTTTCTCTCCTTTCCTGTCTCTGAATTTAGTATCTACTAATTTCTTTAGACAGCCCCTCTGTGGTTTCTCACTACAGGTCACAGACATCACAAAACTCAGTGAACAGGGTATCATAATTTCTCACACAAACAAAAAGGAGCCATTACATATGGCAGATTCCATTTCATGATTGCAGCAGTTTGTGATTGGTGACCAGAGAAACGTAAGAAGTGAAAAGATACATCCTTTGAAACTAAGATGATTCTACTGTTTTTTTATATCAGTTTTCACAGATCATCTTTTAGAAGTCATGAATCTAGATCTATCATTCTCCTCTCTACCCCCAAAAGCGTATGCATGACAAACAGCAGTGATCTTAAACTTACTATTACAAATGAGGCCTAAACACATTCATTGATGTAAAACATCAGGGAGAAAAGTAGCTACTACCTGTAGTGTACCACCCCCACCGGTACTTTCACCATCATCAGATACGCTAACAATTGTCCATGGGTCACATGAATTCCAATGAAAATCAACAACCTTATCCCTAGATCAATAAATAAAAACCAATTATTTCATAAGTCAGTATCAAATAGTAGGTAACAACAATGAAATATGTATACAGTAGTCACTGTCCAACAACAATAAAATAAATGTCATTCCTCAATAAATCATTAACCACCAGGATAAAGTCAAATATGACAAAAGAAGAGATCCCACGGATTAGATCTATTTGGAAAACTCCTAGTGCTTTTTGACAAAAGCAAAGTACAAAATGATATTTTCAAATAGGAACATTCATACCTGTGCCCAGCATGTCGGAAGAATAAGCCTGGCGGAGAATTTTGAACTCTTGTTCCAAGACCATCTTGCTTTTTGCCAATCTGGAACACCATAAATTTTCCAAATTTATACTTTGATGAGAATCATTAAGAAATTCTAAAAATGGTTATTGTGTAAACATGAACTCAACAGATAATTTTCAAATTGAGAATCAAACTTTAAATGAGCAAAAGCGTGACAAGAAATAGCTCACGAGCAGATTCAAGCGGAAATCAAAGTGACACAGTTGCTAGTCAATTCACAAAATTTAGTCCTCTTTGTTTCTCTTGAATGTCTTGTGAAGGTTGTTAGGATTTTCCCTTGCTAAAGGTCACTTAATCGGCATTACTTTTTATGAACTGCTCATGACATCATACTAAGAGGAATTCCAGCAATGCCAGTCAAAAAAGCCATCCTAAAGAGTGATGCTATTAGCACCCCACTTAGTACTTTGGATCCCCATTTCTTTGGACCACCCACTTACAAATTTTAAAACCCTTAAAATTTCTCTCCTCCCCCTCCCCAAATAATGCCAAAATTATCCTTCTAAAAATTTCACAACCACTAAAATGCACACCTCTCAGCCCACCCTCAGAAACCATTCATCTCCCAAAACTGAAAAAGTTCAAATTTGAACGTCACCGTGGAGATCTCCCTGTCGATCACGTTTCTCACTCTCACGACGGTATCACTATCGCTCTCTCACGGCAAATCTCATAAGAAAGAGAAGTTTTGCATGTGAAGAGAAGCTTCTCCGTTGATCTGAAACCCATCTTCTTAAGTTTCACGGCGGTATCTCTCTCTATCTCTATCTCTTGATTAATCAAACTTTAATAAATTCCCTTGTTCAGACTTGTGCTCCCGAACAAATGACCTATCTATGGGCCTATGTTGCTGAACTGTAACACCCCAAAGAATGCCACATACTATAACTATATTATTGTCCACCTTGAATACCCTAAACCCTACCTTATGTTATATGTCAACCTGAATCAAGACTTGCTGAGAATTAGAAGTAAGAAACATGCATTGATAAGACAACCCAAAGAATATAATTACTTGAGAATGAGTTTGACAGTCTAGGTTAATAAAGAGCTTTGAACATGGAAATCTTTACATCTTGTATTAAGAGTTAGGGAATGATTTCTAGGTCGAATTTAGTAAGTTTTGAATTACCCTATTCACTACTCAAGGAGCTCAAGGACCTTAGACTAATGTGCTTGTTATTTTAATACTATATGTCATTTTACTAAACAGGATTAATGTTAATTGAGTAGGATTAATTAAGCTTAATCATGATTAAAGATTAAGTTAAGACTTGATTAATTGGAGATTAACCTTGATTAATCAAGACTAAGAGTGATTAATTAAGCTAATGGGACAATTAGTAAAATACTTAAGGTAACCTTGATTAAGCTAAGTCAAGCAAATAAATTAGGATTTAGTGAAGCATAGACATAGGTGAAGCAAACAAGCATCTTCCTTTTTGTATTATCTAACTTTTGTCTTACCTTAAATACATCAATACATCAATCAATAATATACATCAATTTTTACAAAGAGAAGGAACTAGAAGAGAAGAGAAAGAACAAGAACAAGAGAGAAAGAAGGAGAAAGCAAGAGAAATAAGCAAGCCCATCAAACAAGGCCGGACAATGGGTCTTGCCCAAACAAGCAAGCCCACCAAACAAATATTTACCAAGCAAGTATCACACCCCACATCTATATAAAAGGAGGGCATCCCAAGGAGTAAGGTATCCCTCATCTCTCGGCACCAAACAGCAGACACACTCTCATCAGTTCATCATCTCTCTTTGATTGATGTTACTAACTTTATCATTGGAGTGTCTCCAGCGGGCAACTCCAGTTGGGTGATGCCGACCATGCTTATCTTTATAGATTTATGGGACAAAGCTCATCTCTTTGTTGGATCTCTACAATCTATGTGAGAGGATTTTCAAGGTCTCACAATTGGTGCCGTCTGTGGAAAGAGCTAAAGAATTCAACGAATAAAAGAATAAATACGACACTCGAGGTGCTCGGACCAATGAGCACCAAGATTAACCAATCTCTTTCTAAAAAAGGAGACCCACAACTGGGTCTTTGGCTTCTTTCATTTTAATTATGTTTATTGCTAAAGTTCATGTATACATATATACATATATATATATATATGTACGTCTATGTATGTATCTATTTACGCTCATAGATTTGATTAAACCCTTGTTGAATATCAATATTGCTTAGAAAGATTCACAAAACAAGATGAAGTTAGTAGCTCTACAATTGGGTCTTGACTCTCTCTCTCTCTCTCTAGAATTGTTCCTAGCAAGATAATTCACTGCTTCGGACCACCACCAGAATTACAAGATGCCGAACGTACTCCAAACCCAAACTCGTATCACATCCCATCGTCAAAATCAGGTTCTGTGAGCATAATATTATCATCCATATGTGCCGAACTCACCAAACCGAATCGTGAAACAATCTCAGCAAAGAATGAGGTTGTTCGGCGTCGATGAAAGGCTGAAAATAAGCCTCGCCGAGCATGTAAAATCAAAGATCATTCTCCCTGATTAACACTAAGGTTCTTTGGCAAGATCACCCATGTCACTCAGCAATATCGTTATCTAGCAATAAAACCCGTTTTCTAGCAAAGGCATTGGCCACCTTGACCAAGCTCAGCGAGGAAAGCTAAAGTTCACCAATGCTAAACCACGCCAAGTAGAATGGAGCACTAACTTTCTACACATCCGAAGTATTTCTCATTCGGAAAATTGTTTCAACAGTCGGAATCCAACACCTTGAATCGCCTAGTAGACCACAAGCCATACCAACAATTGCAACACTGTTGCTCTCGGCGACCACAACACCCGTTTCACAATTGATAATTACAATGAGCTTGCCGAGTTACTAACATTGCGAAGCCACCAGATTAGACCCAAGATCAAGTTCACCAATATTCTTACTTGACAACATTGAAAAGCCAAAACATGTCAGTCACGAACGGTGATAACTACAATCGCACCTTAGCCACCACCTCGCCAACTAATTTTCACACCGAGAAGTAAGCTGGCCCCAATTATTCGAGTGCAAATTCAACGACCCATCATGAGCCTCGCCAAGCTCTTTTGTCGAGCATATTCCGTTGCCAAGCACACTTCACCACCGAGCACATTTTGCCAAGAGCACATCTTGCCAAACACCTTCCTTCAGCCAACCACACTTTAACCGAGACAAGAGTCGAAAAGAAGAAGAAAAAAAAAAGAGTAATAGAACAATGTTGTTTTTGGTCCACTTTCGGAGGTCCGACGGCATCCAAACAAAGGCAAAATGAGATGTCTAAATGATAGAATGAATACTAGGCCAAGAGATGAATACAATGCCACAAAAATGAGGCCAATCAAACTTAAAACAAGGGATATACAAGGGCTTAAAGTCAGGAGTTTGAATTTAGAAATTCTAGATTTCATGGAGAAGATGACATTAGGATTTATCGTGCCCTTCTCAACGCAAGGTGCTCCGTTGCATCTTAGCGCATTAGGGTTAATTGGGTGGTCCGATGACTTTGAGCATGACTACCCTTGAGGTTTTCGCCGTGTAGAATCCATTTTTGGAGTCCAATTTTGCAAATTCCGAGTCTCAGATTGGGATCAATAAACTGGCAAATCGAGGACGTTAAATGATAGATCAAGGGTTAGATCGTGTCCGATCAACATGCAATTTTGACAGCAAGCTTCTGGAGCTAGGCCACAATCATTCATCTTCACCAATCATTCATTCATCTCTTGGCCTTCTACTGCCACCTGGGGCAGGACCCACAACTTGAATTTCTTTTACATTCGGCTTCGCATAATTTGTCATCTTAAACACCAACAAAAATATATATATATAGCTCAAGTGTGTTTACTATTATTAATTCATCTATCTCTTCTGTAATAATCTTATGGTTTAATTAGCAGTGCATCAACATTACTCGGACACACATACGTCATTCGGCTATCAACTTGTTGAAATTCGCACAACCACTCGACTGTTTTTGGGAAGCATGGCACCACAACTCCATCGCCGCGCTCATCGGCAATAATCGTCATCACTTAAATGGTGCATGATGTATATATCCTTAATCGTGTTGGCTACAATCGCGAAGTCGTCCGGGCATAAAACTAGCATCTCGGCTTCAAATTGGTCGAAGATTTTGGAGGTGTCAATATCAAGATCTAAATACACCAGAAGGTTCGTGCCGACTAGAGGAGTCCAGACTCACCAACCAATAGCCAAAATTTAACCGAAGTCTGCCGATATAGTTGTGAAACGGACCACATTTTCAAAAAACTAAAATTTTGGAAACTGTCAAGCTCAAGTTTTGACCACACCAGTGTGAAGTACTCATTGAGACGAGTCCAATGCAACAAACCATGTCAAAATTAGAGCTAAAATGAAGCTGTACGAGCCCGTCGAAGTTCGCTGAGCGATGCCATTATTCTGTCGAAGAAGATGACTTGAGTTGGCCAACTTCAAAATTATTCAGTGCATTACGGCTAAGTTCCATCCCATATTCGCTGCCTAATGATCACGTTCAAATACAAAACTTGCACAATCCAAACACCAGCGTCTCTGGTGGCAAAGTTAAGTTTAATGCCTTCCTCACAAGGGCGTGGGTTCAATTCTTGTTGGCTACAACTTTACTTATATTTTTGCCAAGCCACCAAGCCAGGCTGCAAGCCATCAAGCTGAGTCAAGCTATCTAACACAGCATACATAAGAGAAATTATCCAGTGATTCGCGAAGCAAAAGTCTCAATGGATCTGAGCCGTCAGATCCATATTGGCTACAACTACGCCATCAGGAGTCTGATTCCAACAATCTAATAGTCGTTTTGAATTATTTGGCGCCTTCTGAACACATCCGTACGATCTAATTTTTCAAATTACATACCACAAATTTGCCGCTTTCGTATGCAGTGCCACATATCGCAGCTCAAACACCATTTTTGTTGCCACGTCTAGAGTTTGCTCAATACCAAATTCAACGACTATATACCAGCCAGCCTCGTTCGGCA